TATGTACATTCTTAGCCATCTTGGTTAGAATTGAAATCTGTAGGCTGGCAGTGAAATTTTGTGTGTTAGAAGTTGCTCAGAAGGGTGGCTGCACTTTTGGGCCCTAAGCCCTCCATGAACCGATCTGTCGCTACTCTCCCTATACAGGTACTCTAAGCTAAGCTGTTTGGTCGGAAAGGTTCTCATATTTCACTACCTGTCAATTTTTATCTCCGAGTCCAAAAATATCGCAGGCGAACAACGAACAAGAATTAAGTAAAGTAATTATACGATATGAACGAAAATCAATTTAAACTTCAACCGAATAGAAGATAAATGCGAAATGCCCGGGAGAGGGGGGGGGGTGTAAAAAATCAGATTTTTTTGGGCTACCTAGTATCAGAACGCCTCAAAGTAGATGAGAGAGCCCGATTTGTTTCCCTCCGAAAAACCCGCTATAGACCACGGTAAACAGTATCTAACAAAGCTTACATCGAAGGGTTCACGTGAAGCATACTCGAAGATCGATACCGAAGTTCGATACATCCGTAAGATCCCGGCAAAGATATCGAATCGCGTGCCGGAAAATCTTTGACTGCACGCGACAATCGCGACAGAAACGCAGAAAACTCAACGGCCGCGGAGGCAGTAAAAATAATGGGTTCGACGAATCGAAGGTGATAAGTCATAAAACGGGCGAGGATACTAAAGGGAAAGGAAACAACGGACACACCACCAAGGGGAGTGACGTAATGGGCTCGGGGCTGGGCTACGTTGCCAGATCCCCGAAATTCCTCGGCGGGAACCGACGAGAGAGGCGCGAAATTTGGCAACAGACCGCTCATCCAGTGACACTCAAATCGCATAACTGACTCTGACTCATTGTTTGACGGAGAGCGCCGCGTTGTCAAGCATCACTCGAGGTGATCGATAAATTCGGGTGCCGCGCCAGGGAGATTCCCTTCTTCCGCCGGTGATTCACCGAAAGCTCGTTTAGGAGTCACCGGATTGTTGGTTTGTTGAGCTCGTCGCATACCAGATTGTTGCTTCGTTGAGCTAATCGCAAAACTCAAATGCTCCCATCTCCGCGGATAATTCGCCGAAGCTCAGCTTGGAGTCGCCGAGTTGCTCTGTTGAGCACATCGCTCAGCTAAGATGCTGATCCGCTTAGCTTGAAGTCGCCAGATTGTTGCTTCGTTGAGCTCATTGCTGAACGCAAATGCTCCCATGTCTGCGGATGATTCGCCGAAAGCTCAACTTGGAGTCATCAGATTGTTGTTTCGTTGAGCTCATCGCTGAACTCAAAAGTCAAGTGCTGAGTCCAACACTAGAAACCCGGAAACCCGACGCAAGGGTCGAAGCGTCCACCGGATCTCGCTATTTTTTACAAAATATTTCACAGACTCTCAGCAGGCTGACCGTGCAGAGTAAAATTGACTTCAATTTTTACAATAGGCAACCAGTATTTCTAGCTCATCAATAACAGGACCTATCTGCACGGAGAAACGAATACAAGGTTGCCGCAATTTCTAAGTCTTCACATTCCCTAACTTTGCCCCGACTATTTTTACTTTTCACCCATTTTAAAATTTTCTAACTCCCTGATTTTCCTTGACCTTCGAACAAAATTTCCACTTTTATTTCAATGCGCTGACTTGCGCTAAACTTCGGACAAAATTACCTTCCTCAGAGATAGTATTGTGGGAAAAGCCATTCAATGGCTGGTCAAAAGATGACAAGCCTTAAAAATGATCAGAGACAGTAAACCATTGGAAGTTCGGTGATATGTTTTAGTGATCAGAAGATGTGTCAGAAATTCCCTGATTTTCCCGGTTTCCCAGATCGCCGGCAACCCTGGAACGACACTTACGTAACGTTCTTTCGGAGATGAGCCAAAATTAGTGGTTCCTTCATGGAAAATCCATTTCAAAGGATCGAAAATTGTTTTGAACAACCTTTCAAATTTTCCTGAATCGATTCCCTGCCTTTTGAGAGAGGCAGGGCGTGAGATAGAGATTTGATTTTGTTTCCAACTTCGTTTGAAATGGGTCACCGTTAACTCAGAACTGGTGAAAGTGAAAACTCGTCTCCTCATCTCAATCGGTGACAAAAGTAAACCATATATTATCTAGTCTTCAAATGTTCCGGCGATTAGAGAACAACACTATGGACTGGGATAGTGGGGGGGGGGGGGATGAAAAAACCTCAGGACAAGGGAAACTGTCCAAACAGAACAATACCAACCCTGCCTGAGCACAGGTGAGGGGGTAGAATGCAGGGCTCCAAGGTCACGATTCAGGTACGAGCGCGCAGGCCTGGGCAACATAAAAAGGTGAAAGAATTCCTCGGAAAAAAGATCAAGAGGGTCGCATCTCACCTGAGCCTCAGACTTCAAAGGCTCAAGCAGGAACAGCCTGAATCCTAGAGACCGGTAAAATTACTTAAATGGCCCTTGTTCACAATTATTCGACATATTGCCCGGTCACGTTTTTCACCAGCTCCAGCGAGCACGCCATTCAAACTGTTTTTCCGAAATCCACAAGGATACAATGCGGAGAAGGCAAGGGATGGAATTTGAAAAAAAGGGGGCTAGCAATAAGTGAAACAATGGGGACGGACGATAGTAGAAGATTGTCATCGTTGATATGTTGCCTCCGGTAATCATCAGACAAGTTTCGATATTTTCACCTCCATTGAACTGATTCACTTGAACTGATGAATATTTAAAAAAATAGGTAACTAGTGTATTTCCTTTGTAATATCCAAAAGTGAGCTGATGATTTAAAAAGATGATCGTAAAAATTACTATTCGAAATGTCTGGCTAGAATGAGAATCGATTTATCTTTTAAAAAAAGAAAATATTATTGAAAAGGCGCAAGGTAATTCCCATCCAAAAAAAATGATTGCTCCAGGGTGAGCTTGACACCCTCTCCACCCGATACCATCAAAAACACCAAATCCAATGACACCAAATAACAAAAGAGAAGATTTAATGATGGCTAAATAAATNNNNGGGGGGGGGGGGGGGGCTGCAATATGACCAACAAGTTGTGATAAAGTTGAAACTATGAAAAGGAGAGGCTAACTGCTCGGCTGATTGAACTCCAGACAATTATCAAAATCTCACATGTGAAATAATAAAAACATGCTTTACGACATGAGTTGTCAGGTGATGTCCTGAGCTTGAAGAGACTCAAATAAAAATATGAAGAGATTTAAGGCCAGAACCCATTAAGTCATGGACAAGATATTAAAAAGTCAGCATTCTCTGTTCGCAATTCTCATCTCAAATAGTGACAGTAAATAGGTAGTCAAGACGTGAATCAGGGGACTGAAAGCACTTTCAAATAGCAGGAGCTATAAATTATGAAAAATTTGTAGATGGGACAGATATAGTGAACAACATGATTATCTTGGAAGAAAATGAAGTAGCGGCTTCTGGGGAGCACACATGGGCTCTGAAAAACTTTTCTCTCCTCATTGTTACAGAAGGCAGGTTGTGTTGAAACAACAGATCTCCTTTGGCTCATCGTACATTGGACAGATTGACGTTTAACTAAACGTCAATCCTTCGAATGCTCAGAAGTAACGCTGCTTAACAGGTTAACAATAAGCAAAGCAAAAAGATGGTACCTCTGGAGTGTTGATGTGAACAAGATATGACTTCAGTCTCAATAAACAAAGAGCGAGCTCAAGCCAGAGTTTAAACTTAGATGAACAGCTTCCCACAGCGTACTAAATTTGATGAGCAAACCATAAAAAAAGTCTGCATGATATTTGTTTATCATTAACAAAACGAGCCACATTGAGAAGGTGGAAGTGAAAAACCATATTGAAATTCATTTGCCGATAATCGTAAAAACAAAGAGAAACTACTTTGATGGACTGCTAAATCACTGACTATCGTCACACAATGAGTTGATCTTCCTTTAAAATTAACGTGTTAGGCTCAGCTCAGCATACAGCATACCATAGCAAGCATCACTGCTTGCAGATTGATTGTGGTGATATGAGGACCAGAATACTATGAAACATATACAGAGAACAGAATGTGCGTGGAGTGATCTAACCAAGAATTAAGTGCTGATGTTAGGACTTTCAGCCGAGTCCGATAGTGTTAGAGCGGAACTGTAGAGGAACTTAAAAGCCTAAGATGAGGTAATACCTGAGCTGCATGTATAACAATAAGATTGTTACACAAACAAAACGTGTTGTATTCTACTGGAGGATTGCCTTGATGTTAAGAATATAGCTACTGTAATTCATATCGTTAGCAAGTGTTCGTGGATCCAAAAATAATGGTGAATATTTAAAGCAAAGCAGTTTGCTTTAAGTTGAACGTGAAAGATTTTCATTGCTTAAGGGACATCTCATGCTTTGGAATACTTATAATCGTCTCTGGATGATGTAACTCGGAGACAAACTGTGAAATGAAGGACCATGCTTTACAGGGATACCTCGCTCGGTGTACAAAATTTTCATCAGCGCTAAGATTGCCCAGATCCAATTAGAGCAAGTGCAAAATAAATGGCAGATGGTTGAAAAGAAATAAATCGCTCGGCATCAAGTTTGTTTTAGGGGAAAGACAATTAATAACCGCTAGTGCTAGCGCAAACACGTGTGGGTAAACATAACCTTACATCAGATTACTGAACTGAAGGCTAGTAGGCTTATGTAATGCCCACGTTACGATTTGGTTAACAAAAGTAAAAGTATGAAGCGTGAAATTCTGTTCATTGGCAAAATCTGGACAGAGACAAAGGAGCGAATGGACCATGAAGTTTTCTCACGCGGCGGTAGCCATATGGATTTCGAAGAATCAGACCACCCACGTTCGGGAGGAAAGAGAGGACATATTATCAAGCATGGTTCGGTGACCCGGGCAGGATTCTACCTGTCTCGAGGCATCTCAACGATTGCCTAATGATGAGTCACTAACACGAGACGAAATGTAATTGAAATGGGTTGAGCACATGGAAAATACAAGTAAACAAATTAATGAATAGAAAATTAGATTTACCGCTACAACTGCAGGCAGGATTAGAAGTGGTGCATCCGATCAAATGATACTGGAGGCGACCGACCGCTGAGAGACTAATTCGATGTGCGCACGACGTTAGTGCTCGAGATAAAGTTCAAAGTAAAAATAACCTAAATTAGTTAGAAAAGAAGTTCGATCGATTCAGGATTTCAACAAGTTTAACACAGTATCGTAACAAAGAAATTCGTGGGAAGCGGTCACGGGGATGGAATTATATACACGAGATATATAGCGGCTGAATCACTGAAACGAACCGATTAACAAGAGAACTCAACAATTGAAAACGGAAAACAAGGGGGGGAGTCGTGCGTAATAGAATTAACAAAAACTTGAACAAAGAAATTTAGAATGAGCTGTGGATTTGATAGAACGCGTAAGCACAGGCCTCAGCCGAAGTGAGCTGACTGCGTGTCGGGACGAAACTGAGGAACGAACGAAACCGAACTCAACTCGAACTCTGCTGCGCGCGCGGGGAGCATGCGGGGAGGAGCAAGTTGCGACGCACTGTGGATCGGAAGATAGGGCGACGGGGACAAAAGGTTATTGTGCGTTTACCGACCAACTAATGATGCACTTAGTAAATAAAATTACTGCTTAAATTGCTGCAGTAATTTTCACGAAATAGCCGAAATTCATAGTAATAAAGCGTTAAAGTCAACAGTTTGTATAAAATCATTGTTTATACGATGCTCCTAAGAAACACGTGAAAAGAAAGTTCTTGTGGTAATAATAACATTTTTATGGTAATTTTGATTTATGAAATAAAATCCTGCAACCTTGAGATATTATTTCATTGTGTCATGGTAGAACTGTAAGAGTATAGAATAGAATAAAATTTAAGACTTCGTCTAAAAATTTCTTCATGCATTCACTGAGGCTTATCTGGAGTGACTAACAATAATAAAATTGGTCGGCGCCTAAAAAACGGCGGGGGTATGATGGGAGCATCAAGAGTAATTTTTAGCACTCAGTCCTGCTGGAAAATTGAAATTTTTCAAAAATTCGGGCTTTCTGGAGAAAAATTCAAGTCTCTAGGAAATGGATGCATGATAAACAAACATGTGAACTTTTGTATCGCATGCCTGAGAAATTTTCTCTAATGTATCTAATTTGATACGAGCTTTTCCATGATCCGCTTATAGACCTGCATGTAAAACTGATCAGTTTATTTTTCATCTAAGAGGACGGAAAGATTCTTTCATTCTCGTGCCTGTAAGCCTGAACACACTTAATTGTGACAGCTAAGGCCTCAGTTTTTCCATCACTTGCCAACTATCCGGAAATTTGAATTTTCCAAAAATGTAGATTATTGCCACTGACAATAAGAAAAGCATTTCAGGAAAACTCGTTTTTCCATAAAATCAGCGAGTGGTGGAAAAAAACGAATGCTGTTTAAGTTTAGCAGCAAAAGTGTACCTACGTCAAAGTCGCCTGAATATAGACACACCATCACACGTGCGTTTCATTACTTCAAATTTTTTTTCGGATAAACCTAAAATTGGTATGTATGTTCGACTACACAATCAAAGTGAAGAAAATGCCAAGGAAAATTATTTCCCTTCATTGTTATTTTTGGCCCTTTGTCCGAAATTCACCATGAGCTTGACCCACAGTGCGACGAGAAAATGTGGGGTCCGTGCAGAGCGCAGCAGAGGATCAAGGGTTTCGAACTCAAGTCTCAGGGGGAGACGGACAAGTTTATTCAGACACTATGGGCAACCATTAGAGGGATTAGTTCAAATTTACACTACCATATATCGAAGAGAGCGCTGTTGTTCCATCAAACAGGAATTTTCTTTTTTCGCCGATCGATAATACTATGAGATTTACAGTTTAGAACCTGGAGCCACAAAAAAATTTACCTACTATTATGAGAGGAAGGTCATAAAAATTTTAAAATGAAAGGAGCTGATATATCTTTTACCGATTGATAGTTATGTATTTAATTATTAAATAAATAGAAATAAAACAAATGAAAAATTTAAATAATAAAAAGCAACCGACCAACCGCATGAATCGGTCCATATGAAACGGGACAAAAATGTCCCCAAAACATTTATAATCACTGAAACAACTGAAAAAACCGCCTCAAAACAATGCGAACGAACATAGTGACACCGTTTTTCTCTTTTTATTCCTGAGTACAGTATCTCGTGTATTTTATTTAAAACAGAGAAGTACCGTAAATGAGCATTGGAACGGGTTATGAATTTTTTACATGAAAAATAAACAAGCAAATGAAAAGATAATCATGTCAAAGTGATTTCTTTATGACATTTCACACGCAACTATTTCCCGTCACTCACGCACTTATGAGCCAGCGCGCATGCTTTTGCTACCTGATAACATCATGAATTCTAAGAGCTCCTGCCACTGACACTAAAAGTGCCTTCAATTAGGTTGGATACCAACCAAACATTAATACACATACACCACAAATTCGCTCAGCAGCCGCGGCCCGGTTGTTGAATCTATGTCGATCTATGTTGATATTGGCTCTTTCTTAATCATGCAATATATTGTATCACTATGCCTGCTGCTTTAAAATTTCAATAATAAGCCCCCAGAGCCCGTTCGTGAATTGAGGAACCGGTCTAATAGAAATGAATCGAGTATGATACAAGTTGTGTGTACTGTTGCTACATCTTTCAAGTAATGATCGGACTTAATTTTGCGATTTGAAACTACAATTTCCGGCTCACCTACAAAAATATCTTTCGGCCAAGGGAAACTGGCACGTACGTTGTTTTTAAAATGAATCAGAAATAGTAGTTCCAAATTGCAAAATGTAGTCCAATCGTGATCTCAGCTTGGACGCGGTTTTATGGGTTTGGGAACTAATTTTGAACAAAAAGAGCCGCACATTCCTGTGCCTCGGATGAACTTTTACCAAGACACTTACGACTATACTGCCGTGGTAAGGAAAAACGCCGTATGAACATTCGAGAGTTGCCAAATTTCCCTTGATAAAACGTGTATTTTTTACAACATTCATGCATATTTTTCCTTGAAATTTTCAGATATATTAGATTAAAGTGCGTACAAAATTGTCTGAAAATTTTGGAAAATAATATTCGCAATTTTCCCAGGAAATTCAACTTCTGAAGGCTCACACGGCGTTTTTTCTTGGCACACCAGTATATATATCACAAATAATGGAATTTCAGAGTGATACCAGTTCCAATTTGGCTTCTGCGAGGACGTGCTAAAAGAATCTTTCGAATAGAACTTTTCACCACAGTCGCACATGGTCGATTGATTCTGAGAGGAATTAATCAAGTATGCAGTCAACTTGACATTTCATAGGCGGGGAGGAGGGGAAAAGGCGAGAATTGAAAAATTCCGCAAGGTAATCGATTATCTGCGAGGAGCAAAATCCTCAATCGTTGGTTCACGCCGCTCTGTCTGCAAATGCTAATTGACTGGGAACGATGAAGTGGAAAGCGCACGAGAATTAATTTGCATCTTGAAACCCAAACCCACATTCGATCGGAGAGAAACAAAATTCTCGGATAAATAGGGAATACTTGCGGCCTCCAACACTTTCCTCCGGTTCTGCACGGCAGATTTTTTTCTCCCGCAGTGGCGTGGCGTGCTTTGCGATATATCGATTTATCTGTCATTTAAACCTAAGGTAACAAATCGATTTACAGGCTGTTTGCAACGAACAGCTTAAATCGATCTTGTACTATAGCTTCAAATGGAGAAATATCGATAATCGATCATTCATGCCTCGCTACTGGGCAGTGTTCGAAACTCACCTTTGAGTTTTAGGAGCCATGTGGCGCCATTGAAGATTTTTTTAGGGGCCAAATTGACTTTTTGCCTATATATTAAGGCGCATTTAGTGAAAAGTTAGACGCAAGATGTTTTCGTAACAGAATTAGTAAGTAGCTGTAAGTGTGCAGTGTGCATGCACAATTTTATTCAGTTTTCGGTGAAGCATTAAAGACGAGACGGAATTAGGTAGCGTGAAAAACAAAAGGGCCGACTCTGGTTCGATTCGTCGGATTTTAACTAGGACGCCATTTCGAGCTGTAAGCGTCGAGTGCACGGAACTTCGGGGCGTCGAGAGGTATAAATACGCTTTCAAAAAATTTGTGGTTCGAATTGGAGCAAATCAAACGTCATGTTTGTTCTCACGATTGACGAGGGTTGTGCAAAAGGGGGGCATGCACAGAGCAAAAGCAGAGCACGTACCTGTGACTCTCACGGAAAATATCAACATGCAATCAATATGAGGTTATTTATACTTCAATCCTGCTTTGCTCCGATTGTAAGTAAGTACGCCGGCAGAAAAATTGGCCGCGGCGGGGGAGGGGCAGAGTCGGTCGATATTTCTCAGAGTGTGAAAACTCATGGGATTGCGAGCTGTTATTTAGTTATGGGCGTCAGCAATAAAAACGCCAATCTTGGTTACATGGAAAGTGTTAAAACAATAGATCGTATTCGATATATCAAACAGGTGAGATTATATCGATATCGATTGGTTCAACATGTATCAATAGGTACATCAAACAGGTGAGATTATATCGATATCGATTGGTTCAACATGAAAACATTGCCTTGAAAATCGATTTAGAAATCCGAGGAAACGGGTTTCTTGTGATTTATTTTTTATTCTTTTGAGTACCGAATGCCAGTGAAAAGTGTAATTGTTTAAATGTCATTTTTAGCTTTTCCAACTGAAATCCTAAAATTTTTGTTTGAGGATATTTTCTATTGTTATGAACCTAACGATACATCGAACCACTATCGAATACGGTCCATAGGAAAACGAGCGGACTGTTGGAAGTGAGTGAGAAATCTTAAGGAAGCGATGGATTCGGTGTCCTCTGCGAGCTGCACTAAATAAATTTTTTTTTGAGATATTATTTTGACTTAAAACGTCGTTTCTTGTCGACAAAATATGGTTTCCTTGAGTTCGAGAAATGTTGTTTTGCTATTGTTTTTTTCAACTTAAACTTACCGATAACAGAAAGACGCTTTTTTTACTAAAAAAAAAAACTGTCTTTGTGTTGAATCCGCACGAATTTTACTTTAAAAAAATCATATTTTGTCGACAAGAAACGCCGCTGAAAGTCAAAGTAATATCTGAAGAAAGAGAATTTTCAGAGAAGAAAAAGAGCTGTTTTTTAAGTCTGATGAGCTCAGAAAACAATGTTTAACTTAAAGCTAATTGCAAGCCAAATTCATTCCGACCGCAAGAATTTGGCAACTTTGAGCAACAATAAGAGCTCCAATAATCGCAGACCCTCGGAGTCTCATGAGAGGCGATTCCGCTAGATTCGCACTTCTAGAAAACCCTTGGCATTTGATACTCACATCAGAGGCGTTATTGTGATTGAGCAAATTCCTGCTTCTACGGAATCGAGACCTGTCGAGTTTCCATGTGCGAAATGAGCACGTCTTGGGAATTTTCCCGCT